AGGAGTTTCCAGGAGTTTCCAGGACGGGAGCTGGTCTGTGAGGATGCGCGGGAGCCCTGCGTGTGTTTGTACAGTCTGTTCCTGTTTTATTTGTTCTGTTTCCTGTTGTGTTGCTGAGAGCTAGGATGTGTGTACCTGGAGTGTTGAGCGTTGGAGAGGGGACTCCGTAGTTCCCGGGGGTTCGGACACTGGCGGGGCTGTGTGAGGGCTGAGGGGACGGGCTGGGCTGGAAACCCCCTGGAGACGGAGTGGGACCAGAGCTGGAGACAGGAAGCAGATAGGACTTTAAAGACCAGCAGAGCTTTATCTGATGGTGTACTGGAGGCGTCGCGGATAAACGGCCGTTACCTGACGGAGTTGGGCTGTGAGGTCGGGGGTTGAGGTGATGGCTGGGGAGGGGGGGGCATCGGCTGTGGCGTCTGCACCGGTGAGGGCGATTGGATCATCTGTACCTGTGGAGGGAAGGGATTGGACAGTCAGCCAATCAGAGGAGGAGAGGCAGCCTGCTGAACAGAGCGGTCACAGTCTGAACTGCTTTATTATCCATCAGTCTGAAGCATCAGTACAATATATATACATAGAGATTAGAAACAGTACAGTACCAGTGGACTAGCACTGCAGAATGAGTGAGAGAACAGCTCTGTTCCCTCAGCGACATAAAGAGGTGGCAGCAGCAGGAGACGGTGTGTGAGCGGCGCTGACAGACAGGCGCACTGTGGCAGGGAGGGGGGGTCAGAGGTCAGACTGGGGATAAATACCTGCTGTGACATCTGCTGTCCTTGTGCCGCGGCGGCTGCAGCGGCGGCGGCAGCGGCTGCTGCTGCAGCGGCGGCGGCTGCAGCGTTTGGAGAAGGGATGGAGGAGGGCAGGGGGGCTCGAGGCATCCGGGATGATATCTGCAGCCCGGGACGGACCAGCTTCAGAGGACACAGACAGAGACACAACAGGGCCGGTGAGCAGAGAGGAGGCAGCACAAACACAGAACCTCCACCCTGAACTTAAAGCCAGTCCCTTGAAGCAGCGAGGACCGGACAGGACGTCCTCACAGCGGCAGCAAAGACACATTGAACTGAACAATGAATTCTGGCTGATATTCAGCTTTCTGTTCCTCCTCCTCACTCTGATGAAGATGAGTTCTCAGGTTATTATTAACTTCCTTGCTACCTGATACTTTTAAATCCGTTTCTCTCAAGCTAAAAAGTGAAACCCTCAATAACAGCTCCAGCCAGTAGAAGGCGCTGTCCGTCTGACAGCTGAGTAATAAGCTGCAGTATGAAACAGGGTGGAGTTACACATAAAGCACCTGAGCTTGAGGTGGCTGCAGTCTCACCTGACCAGGTACAGCGGCGGCGGCGTTGATCTGCACATGCTGGGCCTGCTGCGCCTGCGCCTGCGCCTGCGCCTGCTGCTGCTGCTGCTGCGCCTGCACCTGCTGCTGCTGCTGCAGCACTGCACGGGCCTGTTGTTTCACACACACACACACACACACACACACACGCACAACACACAACACACACCACACACGGCAAAGCATGCAAGCAGAGGGGGGGTAAGGAGTTTACTGGAACCTACGTGGGTGATTTATCAGCTGATCAAAGAAGGAACAAACTGGACTCTCACAGTATTTATCCTGCAGGATGTTGACCCCAGACTCTAAAGATTGTGATGTTGACCCCAGAGTCTGAACAACACTACTTTCAATATCAACTTTATACAATTTATAACCAAAATAAAATGATGCATTCTGGGAGGAAGCTGTTTAAAGACCTTTAAGGACCGCAGAGCCGACGGCTACCACAGCAGCTTGGAAAACATCTGGTTCATTAGCAGTACTTCAGAACCTCAACTTTCATGAACAATAGGCGCTATTGTTCATGAAAGTTGATCCACTGGCGGCCGATTTGCATCATGGGAAACTACTGGCCCGGGTTTTGTGTTAATGAGCCTACAGGTAGTTCCGTCTATGAAAGCCCATTTAAAATAAAATCACTTAACACAAACATTTTTCTCCGTTTACATCTTATTTCTTTCCATTTAACGGGCAGTAATGAGCTTCCATATGTTGGAGAGGAGGAGCCCTCTGTGGATAACTGGACTCCCAGGAGAAACCTCCTGAACCATGAACACTGAAGGAATCCTAACGGGGAGAAGCAACCGAACTAACCCTTTAAAAGAAGAGTGAGATATGGAGAGAGAGAGGGAGCGGCGGTCTCGAGAGCCAGTGACCAACGAAGCTAATGAACAAGAGAAATAAAACTTGATTAGCTGATGTTCTGTTCTAAAGCAAAACCTCTGCAGGTCTCCTTTAATGTATTCCTCACATCAAGAGTCACACAGTGGTTAATACAAAGAACAACATGGTGACGTTTGGTTGTGTTTCTCATATTGTTATCAGTCTAATTTGCCTGATCTTCAAGGTTCTTCTTGAAATGCAAACAGGAATGCACAACGTTAGCTCTCCTCTGGTTCCACTGTTCCTTGAACTTTATGGTCAAAACCGGCCATAGTTTCACATTAATTAACTGAAATGTGGCTCTATCTGTAAAACCACTCAGCTTGAGTTGTAGAAGTGCCACAGATGTTCAACATGTGTTCTTGAGTACAGCAATTCTGCATTATTCCCTCCATTTGGATTCGGTGGTACGTCCCACAACAATGTTCAGAACTCCAGCAGGAGAGTCAGCGGCTCCAGAGAGTTCAGGACGATCTCTTGTTTCTGTCCGTAGACTCCCTGCTCCACCTTCACGCCTGCCTTCGTGCACTTCACCGAGCCGGACATTAAGTCTCTGCAGGCGGACACCAGGTTGGAGAAGAGCTGGGCGCCCCACCACAGCTCACAACCCCCCTTGTACTGAATCCTTCTCCTGGGTACCGGCTGCCCGAGCAGGGAGTCCTGGGGGATCAATAGAACGCTCCCAGGAAGGTCGAGAACGGAGACCGAGTGCCCAGTGTCCTTTCGGAAGAGTTTGGTTGTCATCAGACTGCTGGCTGTTGAGGAGAACACAGAGATAAAATGATTTATTGTGATATTTAACCATTAAGATTCGATTAATCTGTGAAGAACTGAATGAGGAAGTGTAGTCAGATAACCAACAATCACCAACATAATGAAACCTCTTATATAAGCTGCTATCTCTTAAACGATTAATTGACGGACTTTAAGATCTTGTTTAATTTAAAACATTTATTTTATACATTTATTGTCTAGGACGATATTGTTATTTTAAGAGCATTTTATGCCACTGATATAATGGTAAGTACAATAAAGTACACCCTTTTAAAGAGACATCAAAACTGGAACAGGAAAAAACAATAAAGTCCAGGTGAAATTAAAAACTATAATTTTAACCCTTTAAGATCACACCTTCAGTTATATTGTTCCCCTATTTAACGGAGCTCACTGATTACTGTACAAATACACAACTTTATCAGTGATTTGGGTGAAACTGGATCATATTTTATTATGTTTGATTGATTAAAATGTTGGTGGCATTCTTAAACTGTAAGTCGATAACTATAATATAATTATTGTGAAAGGCCACAATGTTTCTTGCATCCATGTATCTGGCTGTAAGATGATCAATTTAAATAATATGTTGTCTTAAGAATATTAACCACAGTGAAACCTGCAGATTTTACCGATCTCATAAGTGACATCCTCAGTGGCTCCGTGGAAGAAGCACACGTACACGACAATCCCATCCTGGATCTGAGGACAGAGAGATCAGCTCTGAGTATTAAACGCCGTCTGTTTGAGCATGTTATTGAGCCATAGTCATATTCTTCTAGTTTGCTACAGCACAACCCACCTCCGCCCACTGAGTGTCGGTCCCGTCCACAGCTGGTCTGGTCTTAACCTTCGCCCTGCTGCACTGCTGGATGACCGTCCGGGCCTGTAGTTTCCTGGGCCTCCGGAGGGAAGCCGGGCTGCTTCATACACACAAACACAAACCCAGTAATACTCCTACAACTGCTTAAGACACATTAACGAACTGTAAAGGAGGTTAAAGGAGAGCAGGTTCACTTTACCTGTCCACCTCAGGAAGGGGTTTGGCTGTCTGTGCCGGGGCAGAGCCAGAAATGGTGAAGACGGGCCAGGGTTTGCTGCTCGGGGCCACCACAGGCTCCAGGCCACCGCTGGAGCTCCTCTTACCCGAAGAGCCCGTCTCCAGGTCTCTTTTCCTCTTCTCCGGGTGCTGGGCGCTGCCACGGCTCCGGGTTTGCGTCGGTGTTTGGGACTGGCTCTTCTGCTTGCTTGCGGTTTGTGGAGGTTTGGGTTGTGCTGGGGGCTCGGGTGGAGGATGCGGCTCAGTGAGAGATTTGCTCACGACATAGTGATGTGTTCTGGCGCTGCCCCGAGAGCCGCTGGTCTTGTTCTGGTCCTGAGGTTGCGTCTGCTCCCCTGGAACCTGGACGCTGCTTCGGTTCTCAGGCTGAACGTCAGAGCTGTTCTGGACTTCAGACTGCGGCGGCGTCGCTCTCTTGACAGACCAGAGTCTGGCAACAAAGGGGGTGTTAGGAGTCCTTGGCTGGAGGATTATGGGAGTTCTGGGCTGGAAGTTGATGGGAGTTCTGAGATGAAGGAGGATGGGAATTCTGGGCTGAGGGCTGGACGGAGTTACAGGCTGGGGGGACAAAGGGTTCTCCTGGGATTGAGATTAGAGACATAAAGTGAGTCTTTTTTATAACAGTGTGTGAATGCTCCTACTCAGGCGTAGTTTAGCATTATTTCAAGAAATCCAACTCGGCAAAAAGAGCTGTTTTGTGGAACAAATATGGGTATAGCTGTTACCACGGGAACCATGGGTGTTATTAACCAGATTAACCAGACCTGAAACGGATTAAAACTTGAGTGACTAGATTATGTTTGGTTGTACACTAGTATGACGACAGTATGTCTTCCAGATACAGATTACAGATCATGTAAGAGGTTGTGTGTCGAACCACTCTGACCTCTGGATTCGTTGCTGGCTTCATCTCTTCATCACCAACACTCCCACCACCTTCATCGACATCCCCACCATCATCCTCTTCATCATCACTGCGACCGTCGCCATCCTTCCCACTGCCAACATGTAGACAGAGACCGAGAGAGAATATTGTGTAATTAATTCATTCCCAGATGTGTACCTAACGTTGGCCTGGGACAGACTCAGACACACACCTGTCTGAATCCTCGTGTATCTGTGGGGATCTCAGCGCCTCCTCTGATCCTCCTGGTGCTGTCTCGGGTCTTTTCCTCCTCTTGCTGCTGCACAGTGAGCAGCTGTTGATCCACTGCACCACATCAGTCTTCATGGTTTTCCAGAAGTACCTGTGAGAGATCGCGATGAGCTGCTTATTAATGCAACAGCCTCCTGCGTTCATTATTATCTTAATGTAAAGACAAACTCGACAACCTAGAATTTATCTTTTGGTCTTTATTTCTTCAACTTTTAAGGGTTATTCATTCAACACAAGGATGGTCACCATGGATTAATAACAAACACACACATCTGTCTGTAAGCCAGTAAACAGTGCTGCAACTGCTACAGTGATCGGTGCTCCAGCAGTGTTACCGTTCAGGATCAATAAAGTTTGGAGCTCTCACCTTTCGTTGAGCAGTCGGAGGCACTTGCTGACGTCGAGGTGGTTCAGCTCGTTGTGAAAATCCACCAGGGCGGCTTCAACCTGCTGTCTGCTCCTCAGAACTGAACGCACCCGATCTCCTCGCACCACATGGAGCTCGCCGTCTGGGAAACCAGAGAACGAACGGTTGCGTTACCAAGGCGACGCAAAGTTCAATAAACTGTTAGCATGAAAGGATATTTAATGGATATTAACAGCACAGAACAACTGATACAAACTGTACAATGAACCCAAATAGTGAACACAATAACTGCGTAAAACAAGCAGTTTGGATGAATTTTGAGCAGATTATTTCCTGTAAGTATTACATCAGAGGTCAGAGGTTTATACAATTATTTGTCTGTGTATTTTTTAACTAAATTTTGTCTAAGCAAACAATTTAATTTAGCTTCCTTCACAGAATTATACTTGTGGGAATCTACTGACCTGTTACAGTCATTCATTGTGGATTCCGGTTTGTACAAACCTTTGATGGAGAACTGCTTGCAGAACCTCCTGAAGGTGTTCTTCTCTACGTAGCTCAGTCCAGGAGGGTAAGTTCGTTTGCTCAGGTAGAGCTCCACGGCATCGTACTTGGCAAAATAGGCCTGCTCACACAGAAAAAGCTCATTAAAACACACACACACACACTTTTCTCCTCTCTTTGAATCTGTGTCTTTCTTTCCCCAGTTACCTTAATCTGGTTCCTGAATCAGTTTTTTTTTATATTTACTTCTATTTTTTATTATTTATTCCTTCTGTTTCTTTGTTATTGTTGTTGTTGTGTATTATCTGATATATATTGATAAGAATTGTCCAGGAAAAGGTTGAAATGGCATCAGAATCTGATTGAAGTAGCCTCCT